CTAAATTTTGTTTCAATCTGACCAATTTAGAAAATATGAGTGTCTTTCAAATAAAATAATCTCTTTGCTTGTCTCATATATTATTCTTTATCTGAAAGGTGTAATAATAAGAGGGCCATTACTGTCTTTATGAAGTAAATTAGGATTTTTTTTTTTTTTTTTTTTTTTTTAATCCTCACCCGAGGACACTTTTCCATTTTTTGTTCAGGTTGAGTGGGGGGGAGAGAGAGGAACAGAGAGAGAGAGAGAAACATCGATGTGAAAGGAACACATCGAGTGGCTGCCACCCGCACAACCGACCAGGGCCGGGGACAAACTGCAACCGAGGTACACGCCCTTAGCGGGAACCGAACCCGGGTCTCTCCGGACCGCAGGCCGACGCTCCAACCGCTGAGCCAAACCGGCCAGGGCGTAAATTAGGATTTTTTATTTCCTTTTCATTTCATGTGACTCTATTTCTTCACTAGTGTGACAAATGGGGTTTAAAATAAAAACTTGTTCTATTACTATTGAAAAATGTGTTGGCAGTTGCGGCACTGGTAACAGCAAATGCCACAGAGCACCCATCTTCCTCTTGATCTGGTGGCATGGTGATCGTGGAAAACGTTTTAATAAACAGAATAATGGAATTAATGGAACAGTCAGTGTTACAGCAGAGTAGAATTTTACTTTGATTTACTGAAAAGTCAATTACACAATAATAAGCAGCCGATGGATTGTTATTCACAAAACATGGTAGTTAGACATCAAATGATTTTTCTTCTACCAGTCACATTAAGCTAAACAAGATTTCAGGCACAATACAGATTTATAAAACAAAACAAAACACACTCTACAAAATTAATGGTAGCAGATTTAAACAACAGTTTCAAAATGGCAAAAGTGGAGCGCGAGAAGAGACTAAGTATCTTCATAGCACTAAGCTATGGAGATGTTTCAACTGATTTGTTGTTCACAAATTTGACTGAAATAGTGCCTATTATGATTATCAGAAGATTATCATTCACTACTGAACTAGAAGCACAAAATGAACTATAGTTCTTAGTAGTATTTTAATGATATGTTTTATTACAGTTATTGGTAATCCAAGTTTATTACTTTTGCAACATTTGAGTCGAAAACACATGATGTAAGTGTGCCCCCCTGTGGCTATAGATTCCTTTGTAAGAATGTCAGAAAACACCTAAAATGGAAAGAGAATCTTAACTGATTCTATTACCTAGTGAGTACTTCCTCCATCACAGGCAGAATTGTCTTTGCTAATTTTAAAGTTATTCAAAGTTAGAAGAGCCACGATTTCTTAGAGTTCTTACAAATATTTTACTTTTAGTAGTTATACATGTTAATCAACATGTCCACCTCTGATTCTGAAGTGGTGTAACATAGTAAAAGCACATAAATTAACCCCAAACACTTACTTTTCTTCATATATATATTGTTAGATTAAAAGTCAAGTCTAAATGAGTCTCTGAAAGTATTTTAAAATACATTTTATGATTAAATAGAATAATGGATCAAGCAAAACATTTGTAGCAGGGCAAGTCCATGACCTGAAAAAATAATTTGTATGTTTGTATGATGTATATGAAAACAGATGTTTTTTATAGATTTTGTCAATCAACCAGATAATGGATATCTGTAATGTATCTTGTAGATTTCACAGACTTTTAAAGCCCTTTCCCATAAAGTGTTTTGTAGAGTTGCTATAATTTTATTTTGACACAAAGATATTACCTAGTTAATACTCCTTTTCATTTATCTCTCTAGTCACTAGTCACATGATGCAAAGACTTATCTATTGACCTATTCATGCTTCTGATAAATCTCTGCAAGGAGTCCTTGTTAATGACCTCATTAGATATAGGCCTTCACCAGATCCCTGAGATCTTAGAAATGGACAAATCTTAGAAATGCATGAGCCAGGAGTGTTAAAAATCTAAGGTCGTAGGATTCAGGAACAGTCTGAGTCAGGAAGAGAAACCTCAAATAACACAAAAGGAAAGTATCAGTATAATCAAGTTTGAATTTTAAATGACAACAACTAAGACTGCTTCTTTGAGACACTAAAAAAGCAAAAACCCTAACTGTATAGTTAATCACTGAATTTTCCATTGAAACAGGTGTTTTGGTTCTAAGCAAGTTGAACATTGCTGGTCTCAGTGTAAGTTTTTTCCAGCTAAAGCATCGCTTCTCTTATTTTCCATTTTGTTACATTTTTAAAATGAGCCCAAAATGCTGTGCATCAACGCCAACCTCTTTTAATTAAATTTTTTCAAAGTAAAATCAGAAATAGATTCAAATTTAAGGCTGCAATCATTAAAGAATTAATGCAAATCACTATCTTATATTTTCTTTATTAAACATTTCTTTGCTTAATTGTTTAGCATAGTAACTGTTTTTAATTTGGAAGAAGTTTTTAATTTCAATCAGAGAAGTGGAATAAATTTAAGTTGTTTCTGTTTGTTTTAATAATCCAAACTTACTTCTACTTATAGTTTGGTCATTTAACATATCTTTTAAAGTTCTTAGACAACAATATTTCATAAGTAAATATTGACACCTGTCAGTTTTTTGCACAGATTGAGATGAGTTAGTATTTTTAAAAGATAAATCGAACTGTTTTGTACCCCACCTTTGCTTACCTATGTTACCTAAAAGAAGAATCCTAATGGTATTTTTTAAAAAACATTAAAAAAAAAATCTTTCTCCTTTCTGGAAAATTCTTCTCACACTGAATGAAACAAACAGCTGAAAGTAGAGTAGATGGAAAAAGAAGAGACAAAGCACAATGGATGATATGATATTAGTTGTAATCTAATTTTAAAATCTCGTAGCATTGAATATCTCCTAACAAAATGTTGGGTTATTATCATATAGATAATGTATCATAGCCTGAAAATTTTATTGTGAGTGCCTGAACTAAATATATTTTCATGATTTTTTTTTTTTTGTCTTTGGTATCTTAGACTCCTTAATAATTTATATTCAGCAAAGAAATTTTAAAATAGTTATTATTATATTTTTTATTTAACAAATTTATTTGTAACTGCTTTTGTGTTTTTGAAGATAAAGCCAGAGACCTTCTAGTGAAGGTTGCTTACTGAATAGTGATCATCCTTATGTTTTTAGAAAGGAAATGTGTCGCAGAACCATGAAGTAGCGGCTAAACCAGCCTGAGCAACAGATTGGCAAATGGCTTTTTGTTTCCTTCATCTCAACTAGAATGTAAAAACCTAATTAGCTTTCTTTTCAAAGTGTTTAAAACATTTTTCTTTATTGATTTTAGAGAGAAAGGGAGAGGGAGAAAGAGATAGAAACATCAATGAGGGAGAACATCAACTGCCTGCCTCCTGCATGCCCCTCACTGGGGATCAGGCCCACAACCTGGGCATGTGCCCTGACAGGGAATGGAACCGGCGACCTCTTGGTGCATGGGTTGATGCTCAACCACTGAGCCACACCAGCCAGGCGCTCTTCAGAGTATTAAGTCTCATGGATTGACCTATTATGAGGATCTATCTCACCTTCTATAAGTGTTGAGAGTAAACAATATTGATAAATGCTTGGAAAGTATAAGTTGTAAATAGTACACATTAAAAAAAAAACCCTCATCTTTTCTGTTCATAAATAATATGATTTGGGCCCTGGCCAGTGTGGCTCAGTTGGTGGGTGTCACCTGTGCACCAAAAGGTTGCTAGTTCGACTCCCAGTCAGGGCACATGCCTGGCTGCAGGCTTCGCCCCCAGGGGGAGCCCAGCTCATCAATATTATGTTCTCACGTTGAAGACTCTCCCTCTCCCTTTCTCTCTAAAAATCAATAAAAATATTTTAAAAATATGGTTTGGATACTAAGGCAAAAAAGTGCCTTTTAAAAAGGAGACTTTGAGCCGGGCCAGTGTGGCTCAGTGGCTGAGCATCGACCCATGCACCAAGAGGTTGCCAGTTCGATTCCCAGTCAAGGCGCCTGCCCAGGTGGTGGGCCAAATTCCCAATGTGGGTATGCAGGAGGTGGTCAATTGATGTTCTCGCTCATTGACGTTTCTCTCTCTCTCTCCCTCTCCCTTCCTCTCTTTTTAAAAGCAATAAATAAATAAATAAATAAATAAAAAGGAGGCTTTGACCATTAGCATATCATGTAATATTTAGAATGGACCATACAGTACTATGGAGAAGCTCAGTGTTCTATTCTAAAACATATCTCCTAATTACTCTCTCTTTCTTTCTATTTACTAGTGCTAAGACATTGAATTATTTTTCTCTTTTGCTGTTTAGAATTGACCCCAAACCATAAATTCTAATAATGTCCCTTGCTGTTCTGGAATAAAACGTGGGAAATGAGTGCTCCATTGAAAACTCTTGTTCTGCCTGAACAGCCTTACACTGTGTGCTTGACCACACATGGTCCCTTCTTTTCAACCAGCTGGGTGCAAAGAGATAGATTTTTGAAATCCTCAATTCTAGTGGTAAATCAAACATTAATAATATTTTCTAAGGAAAGAAGAAACAGATAAAATTGCATACATTAATTTTGCATCAACAAGTGAACATTTCATTTGCAGCTGGCTGAACAGAAATAATGGACCAGTAAAACATCACATCTTTAAATAGACTCTATGTTATGGGCATAGTTACAGTATCAACAAAAATGAATGCTTCTCAAAATCTGGCCAATAGAAATAATATGGGTTATCTTGCATTTTTCATCGTTCTATGATTGAAAATAGGCCTCAATGCAGAAAGTATTCCCAAGCAAATTTAATGACAATGATTAGTACTGATGCAGAATTACCAATATGTATCAGTTTTCAGACCTGAGGACATCAAAGACACTCTATCCTCAATGTCCCAGAGAAATCAAAATGGATCTAGATACAGATGACAATAAATTAAAATGTTGAGTGAAAACCTTTTGCTTTATAATGCTACTTACATTTCTAAATAAGCTAGTATCTATTAAAACAACACATCACACAGCACCTTTTCTTTTATATCTCAAAAAACATACATTAACAAGAATGGAAGGAAAAAAGATTAATTAGAAAAGCCCACAATCTTTCAGATTCTCTTTGATTATTATATCTGTAACTGCATCAAACACGAACTTGACATTTTGGGTATCTGTAGCACAGGTCATGTGAGAATAAATTTCCTTATCTTCTTTTCTTAAATTCAGGTCTAGAAACTGATTTTTGATGTAGTTCCCTGCATCTTCAAATGTATTTGGCCCTTGTTAAAAAGAAATTAAAGAAACATTAATTGTATTAAAATGATGTTATAAGCAATATCAGTAAGTTTTAAGATTTTACTTTGTGTACTTCTATTTGATATACTCTGTATTAAAAAAATCAATATTCACAGTGGTCAGTTATCCGGGATTTATGCAACACCTAGTTTGTGCTGGGAACTATACTTACCCACTGAGGGCTTCAAGGGGCTCAAGTTTAACCTCTACATCAATACAGTAGAAGTAGTAACATAGTTACACAACCAAGTATTTGAGTGAGTACATATGAAGCCAATACATATGTCAAAGGCTATGTGTGTGTATGGCATGTGGGTGTATGCATTTGTTTTAATATGAAGTAAATAAAGGAAAGAATAGATATTATAAAGTAAAATACAGAATTGAGCTGGACCTTGAGGACTAGCTAGAAGAGAACAGAAAAACTGTATGAGTAAACACCAAAAGTGAAAGAGTGACTGGCCAATACCATTGGACTCAAGGGTAAGGTTGAGACGTTAATGTGTGTTTTGGAGAATCTGGTTCAATGAAAATGACAGATTTTTATAGAAGGATTGTAGGAAGGCAAGTTGAATAGATGGTATAGGCTGGATTATGGACTATGTTACTAACTAAAAAAAGCAGCTAAAGTGAGAAATGTAAGACTGTAGAGAACTATTCTTGACTGATGTTTCAGTAAAGTTAAATGAAGAGCCAGTGAAGGTTGTGCTTGAGAAAGTTTAGACTAGTAACAGGAGACCCAATGGATCAATTGGAAAAGGCAAAAATAAAATAGGAAGGCTAGCAAGCACAGGGCACCTACAAATGACCTGCTGGTGGCTTTATAACAGAATATGTGGAGTGGGGACCTAACACAGGATAGAGCCATAGCATAAAGATTTTCTAAGGAGGTAAATTTTTTGTTCCCCACTTTATTGTTGCCAGGAGAAAAGTGCCAAGAGGGACAACCTCTGAAACAATGTAACTAGCTAAAATCCAAATACTGACAACACTAAGTGCTGGCAAAGATGTGGAGCCACAGAGACTTTAATTTATTGCTGGTGGGAATGCCAAAATGGTACAGTCACTTTGGAAGGCAGTTTGGCAATCTCTTACAAAGTTAAACATAGTGCTTGGCCAGTGTGGCTCAATGGTTGAGCACCGACCCATGCACCAAGAGGTTGCCGGTTTAATTCCCGGTCAGGGCACATGCCCAGGTTATGGCCCAATCTTCAGTTGGGGGCATGCAGGAGGTGGCCAATCAATGTTCTCTCTCATTGATGTTTCTACCCCTCCCTCTAAAACCAATAAAGAAAAAGAAAAACAAAATAAAACAATGTTAAACATAGTCTTATCATATAATTCAGAAATTGTACTCCTAGGCATGTACACAAAAACTTATGTGCACACAAAACCCTGCATGTGGGTGTTTATAGTAGCTTTATCCATAATTGCCCCAAACTAGAAGCAACCAAGATGTCCTTAGATGAAATAATAAAGAAACTGGTTTGTCAATGGAATGAAATATTATTTCACAATAAAAAGAAATGGGCTATCAACCCAAGTAAACATATGGAGGATATTTAAACGCATATTGCATTTACAACTGAAAAGTGAATGAAGTTAGAAAATGCCACATACTGTATAATTCTAACTATATGACATTCTTGAAAGGGCAAAACTATAGAAACAGAGAAAAGATCAGTGGTTGCCAGGAGTTGGACGGGAGGAGCAAAGTGTGAATGGGTGGAGCATAGGGATTTATAGGGCTATGAAAGGCATGCATTTGGCAGAATCCATAGACCTGTACAACACAAAGACTTTTGCTAATGCAAACTACTGACTTTAGTTAATAATGTATCAATATCTGTTCATCAACTATCTAATGTACTTCAGCAATGTAAGATGTTAATAATAGGGGTAACTGTGGGAGCTGACCATAGAGAAGGAGTATATGAGAACTCTGTCCTAAACTAGAAACCGCTCTAAGAAGGAAACTCTAGTAGTTAAAACATTATTATAAATCTATATTTAATTTGTAATATTCAATACAGAATCATGATATTTAATCACACGATAAATGTGTGAACATACAATTAATATTCATAAATACAGAAGAAATATACAAGCACTAATTATAGACTAGCACATATAGCTATTTTGACAGGATGCCATACTCCTAATAACATCTGGGATACCCATGTATCAAATGGTGAAATCACTTGTATTTGTGTTTAAATCATAATTATTTCCATCTTACCCAATTTCACTGACAACAGAGCGTATAACTACAAAGAAAAAAAGGTTCCAAAGGGAAAATAACCCTCTATTGAATCTGACATGCATTCATAATCCTTAATAGAATCAGTACTAAACCTCCAGGATCTAGGAAAATTGGAAAAAGAGAAGGTGCCACTATTCTCAAATTCATTCATACTATCCTTCAGGAAACTTAATTCAGACTTTGAAGAACCACTAAGATCTAATACAGCATTACAAGGTTTCATTAGGAAAGATATAAAAAATTCCCAATTTGAAATAAAATTTACATTCTTATTACAATGTTTAAGGTAAATAATTTGCAACATCATTTGATACGTTATATGGAGTAGCAACTCCAGTCTACTTTTAGAGCTTTGCTTTAATGCAGACAGTGTAGAAATGTTTCCTCTTTCCAGTTTGGATCATGTACATGACTCAATGTTTTTCACAAGCCTCAACCTTATAAATATTACATGTCAAGATTCAGATAAGAAAAAATACACACACACACACACACACACACAGAAAGAGAGAGAGAGAGAGAGAATTTACTATTCTGTAATTAAATGAATATAATCTTACCAGTGTACTCTGGAAAACAGATACTAAGATGAACTTTGGTTACTTTTTCTTGAAAGAGATCTTTTTTGTTGAGAAACAGGACAATGGAGGTGGTTGCAAAGTACTTGTGATTACAGATACTGTTGAACAGGTGAAGGCTTTCATGCATTCTGTTCTGTGTTGTTTAAAAAATAAGAATGTGTAGAATTATTATTTGAAAAATATTAATGTTGGGCATTATAAATATAAGGATTTAGAAATAACATTTTTGGAAGGCCTTCATTGAGTTGGAAAATGAGGTAGTAATAGTGGAACCCCCAAATGTTTGTTTTTCACCCTGGCCTTACACTGCCTGTAGACTTACCACTTCTTCGTCTTCCACTAGGACCGTGTCATAGGCACTAAGTGCTGCACAGAATATAATGCATGTAACTCCTTCGAAGCAGTGAATCCATTTCTTTCTCTCAGATCTCTGTCCACCTACATCGAACATTCTTTTAAAAAAATAAAAATAATACAATTAATAACTTATAGATATCCTCCAAAATTCTCATTAAGATTAACATTTAGAGTTTTAAATGGATACTTTTATATCTTTAAAAGGCATTCCTCTGATTTTTATTCATTAGAAAATAAGTCATATTTGGCCAATTTGCAGCTCAAGGACTAAAATGAAATTACATCATTTTATTTTTAATTTACGCAAACTATAGTAAAATAACTCACACACTGATTTTGAGCACGAGGAAATTTAAGTAGTTTAGAGTTTTAGTAAGAAATTGATTAGCCTTAGGGGATTCTGATAAAAGTTTATATATAGCTGACATTAACATAATTCACAAAAAAGATGGGAAGCTATCATAGTTCTCATACTATGATTCTTGGCTTTCTTGGCTCTTCTTATATTCATTCATCATTCATTCAAGAGATTATTGGATTTGATCATGGATTGGAAGAATTAATATTGTTAAAATGGCCATGCTACAGATTCAATATCATCCTTATCCAAATTCCAGTGGTATTTTTCAAAGAAATAGAGCAAACAATCCTAAAATGTGTATGGAACCACAAAAGACTTTACTAGGCAAAGCTAGAGGAAGAAGAACACAGCTGGAGGCATCGTGCTCCCTGATGTCAAACCACACTATAAATCTATATTAATTAAAACAGTATAATATTGACACACAGACACACAGAGTGAAACAGAATAGAGAGCCCAGAAATAAATCCACAAACTATACATTGTGCTAGATCCACTGACCCCAAAATGAAAAGATATTGTCACTATCTTCAAAGGGCCCTCTCTGTCATAGTGAGATAAACAAATGTGTTATTATAATGTTATTTAATAAATATTCCACTATACAAGGTAGAATGTGAGCCTAGAGGAAGATTTAAGTTAGCCTGAAGGGTTATGAAACCTACTCAGAGAACGTGTTTATAAACTTGGCCCTCCCTTTGTTTTTGTATTTTGATAAAAGACACCATTATAAACATAGCAATACAATATAGAAACTAATTTTTTTAATTGTTTTTCTTTATTGATTTAGAGAGAGAGATAGGGAGAGGGAGAGAGAGACAAAAACATTAATGAGAGAGAACATTGACTGGCTGCCTCCTGCATGCTCCCTACTGGGGATCAGGCCCACAACCTGGGCATGTGCCCTGACCGGGAATCAAACCAGTGACCTCTTGGTGCATGGGTCACTGCTCAACCACTGAGCCACACCAGCCGGGCCAGAAACTGAAATTTTAATACCTCTCTTTCCCTTAACATCCACAGATAACATATCCAAAATGCAGTTTCTAATTCTACCACTGCCTTCCAACTCCTGTCCTCTTGTATACACCAACAGTTCTGACCAGGGCCACTGCAATAGTTCTACTTTCCATTGGCTTCCTTCCCCCTTAGAATCAAATACAAACTGGTTTGAAGACCACTAAGGCTCTGGCTGGTTTGATTTGTGCTTAACTATCCACTTTCCTCTTTTTAACACTATCCAATCACAAGACTATTCTTTCAGTTCCTTTAATATAAACCTAAATTTTCTATTTCAGGAGTTTTGCAATTATCTCTTTTCCATGTGACATGATTCTGTTTTTCCTTCTATGACACTTCTTTCTCAGCAGGTTTCAGTGTTAATATCTCTTCCACAAAGAAGGGTCTCTCCATTCCTCATTTACTTTCTGCCATATCACTCTCTTTATTGACTTTATAGTAATTGTCACAATCAAGCATTAACTGGTTTGGTTATTTATGTGTTTTACATATTTAATCTCTATTATCTCCCTAATAGAACAGTGGCTTCATGAGTGCAGGGACCTTATTTATGTCAGTGATGCCTATATCCCCAGTGCCAGGCACTGTGCCTGATACACAATAGACATGCAATAAATATTTGCTAAATAAATGAGTATATTTCATGTTAATGTCATGGAGGGGGTATTTTTATGTAAAGTCCATGTGTAAGTCAGGGAATGAGAGAGCATGGTGTGTTTGGGGTAAACAAGTAATTTATATTTGGGAAACATGAAGATTAAGGTAAAACCACTGAGATATATGACCTGATAATTATTCATTTATTCAGCAAGTATTTATTAATTATACCAGGCATTACAGATTCAATTTCAAGAAGCTTGTAATCTGGTGGTAGTGGTAATGGTGTGTGTGTGTTTGTGAATAGACTTAGGATATTCATGTACAATAGAGAGTGTAGGAGGTGGATTGAAATGGAGTGATTAGAAATGCAGAAGATACTTGTGAAAAAAAAAGAGAAATTAAGTTTGAGGGGTTGAGCTAAGTGGATGCCTGGGGAGAAGTGTCGTAGGTAGAGGCAGCAGAAGAAACTGCAAGAACAAAGGATTTAAACAGGCTAAAATAAGTCTAAGGTATTAGGCCAGAAATATGTTTACTGGGTATTTTACATTACATGAGAAAATTTGACTTTATATTGCAGCCAATGGGGAACTATGAGAGATTTTTGCATTAGGAATAATATTTATTGTTTTTGTTATGTTAGGTCACTTTGACCTGAGACTGGAAGACAGCTTTGAGGAAGAAACTAGAGGCAAATAAATAAATTATGGCGCTTTTTAATAGTTTAATAACAAGATAGTACCAATAAGCATCTAAACTATACAGAGGTTTCAAAGGTACTCACTATACCTGGAATAATACTAGCTGTCTTATTGAAGACTCTTCTACTTCACAATTCACATATGAACCAAATAGAGAACAGGTACATAAAACTAAAATTCCTCAAATATATATAGTGTGTACATATATGGATAGTTTGATAGCTATGCACTGATGTAAAACCACTCCATTCAATAGTAGATTCAAAGAGAAGATACTCATGATATTCAAGATAATACTTAAGAGTTCAATAGTTACGTGGTTTAGAAATTTAAATCAATAAAGACTATTATATGTGCTGCTAATTACCAAATCCTGTGTAGTTTCGTACTTGCAGTATACATGGATGAAAAGAACAGAATTTTCACTTTAAGGTTTTAAAAACCAGTCAACATTCTTATGGAATCAAAGATAATACATATGTATTCAGACCTTTAAATTTTTAGTCAAATGTTTTGTTAACCCACTGAAGTTATTTTATTTAGCCTTTTTTTAAGTTTTGAAATTTAAAAATGTATTTATTACTTTATTGAAATTACCTGCATTGAAATAATCTATAAGTTATGGGAAAAATAAAAATAGTTTAGATCATAACTTTTATTTCCGCCATAAATCCCCACATCACCAATTGTAATGTTTTAATCTTAGCATAACACAACTACTAGGAGTTTACTATGTGCCAGGCAAAAGCATTCTGCAACAATTAACTCATTTAAACTTTACCATAAACTTATAAGGTAGGTACAGTTATTATTCCTATTTTTCATGTGAGCCCTTTAAGAAACCAGCCCAAGGCTTATTAATTCAACTAACAGTTGTTGAAGCTGCTTTGTACCAGGCACCATGATACATAATGTGGGAATGGTAGTTATGCTGGGAAAGTTGTTAGACTTTGTTGTGAATCTCATTACTTTGACCAGAGATCCCCGAGTAGGACATATTGTCTGTAATTAACTCTCAAATCCTCCTCAAGTGAATTGCAATGATCTTTGCTGTGAGTCTATCTTTCCTCGGGTCAGACGGTAGTTCTGTGGGGTGTCAAACAGGTCACTGGGCACATTCTCCCTTTTTCAGATGTTTATTCCATTTTACTAATGGAGATAGTGAAGACAGTCTGGATTCTAGGAGTTTCACATATTCTCCTTTTCATCATACATAAATATATGATGGGTCATTTGATGGCAAAGCAATATGATACCGTGATTGGACAAAAATGCATTAACTTGTGGATTCACTTGGTGAGGATGGAGTGTACATCACTAGATTTAAACTTACAGTGGGCTTTGTCAAAGAAAATCACCCCTTGTATTCCCACCCACTGGATTTTAACATATAAGAAGCAGCATAATTCTTGTTTCCATTTTAGCTCAAATCCTCTCCTCAGGATTTGCTTCCATGGTGGTTTTCCTGTAATGGAGAACTAACTAATGATGGAATCAGGACAAAGTTGCTGGATGAGTGGGATATTTGTACTGCGAGCCCAGCGTTCAGATTCCACAGTGAGAATGATGGTGCCATAGGAGCCAAATTCCACAACATCCTGATTATGTTTCCCTACCAAACAGGGCTTGGGTTAGTACTGTTAGTGAGAGCCTCTTTTTCTCTGCTGTTGTGGACAACTATCCTACCTGTATTCATTCCGATCGATACTTTCTTCAGTCACATTTATATTTTCAATCAGATATATTTAAATCTTGTAAATCTGAAAATATTCTTAATGTCACTTTGGATAACTGCTCAGATTCCCTTGTGATAACCAAATATTTTACTTCAGAGAAGATAAACTTGTTTCTCTCATGTTTATATTTATTTATTTAATTTTAATTTAAAAACATTTACAGAGAGTTCCTAGTAATGAAAACATTATAGAATTGGAATGCTCATTACCAAAACAAACCAAGAGCTAGAATTTGTTTTTTATATTGATTCTTTTCAATATTATGTTAGCTCTAAGAAAAGTTACATTATGCATTTCTGTTGTTGTAGCAATTTATGTTTCATACATCACTTTTCACTTTGGTGTTTCCTCCAAATTTTAATCTGAGTCTTATTTTAGAGATGTAAAGCATAACATCCTATTGATACAATTTGGAGATTCCCAAAGTAGAGCATTTACTTATTATATATTTCACTGAAGAAGTGTGTGTGTGTGTGTGTGCACACGCGCACGTGTGTGTGTGTGTGTGTGTGTGTGTGTATTTCATCATGACTATTCTGTGAAAAACAAAAATAAATACCAAAAAAGAATATACACACTTGCTGATGGACATTTGGTTTGGGCAAATGTATATGGACAATTAATGAGGTGAATGGACATGTGATACAGCTTGAATACCCTTGATTCCCTAAATAGTTAAGGTAACCAGAGTGCAGAATAATATTGATTAGAATGTGCAGTTCTCATTTTGGGTAAAGGTTTTTGGTCTTGTATTTGGTAATACATATTTCCTTATTAAGGAAGTTAGGATTTTTTTTTTTCTGTTTTTAAGTTTTTAAATGCCTGAAATGTATGATGCAGCTAAAAATTGACCAGCCAGGCTTTTAAGTGACAGGCGAACATTGATAATTTGTTAAGTTGCCCATAGAAGTAATGTAGGGCAAGTCATCCACGTTTTATGGCTTTATATTAAACAGTTGACTTTGTTATCTATTATAAACAGTTGGGAGACTTTTGAGTTTTATGGGTGTATGATAAACAATTGTCTAAATATTTACCACACAAAATTATTCATACTTCATATCAAAATAGATTATTAATAATCTGCCCTTTATAGTGCTTACAAAATCATTATATAACCTAGGATAGCTAAAAATCAATAACGCTACTGCAGCTAATTTATTTGTTAGCATCTGATTCTCTTGGAAAAATTACAATTATTGACATTTATATATTTGACCACAGAAAAATAAGATCTAATCTGACCAGAAATTTATTTTAAACTAGTCTGTTGAGTGAGATTTACTCAAGATAGGTGGTTATATCACAATTGGTACAACCTCTTAAGATGACCATATATGACAGGGCCACAGGTAAGATCTGTGTCAACACTTCAGGGCCAGAGCAAAATAGCTTGCCTTTCTCTTGTGCTCAGTTCTAAAAATCAGGGTAAATACTTGCAGATGTAAAGTATATGCACAGAGATCATTCTAAATTCCTTAATTGTTTGTGGTCAAAAACAGAATCAAGGCCTAGCCGGTTTGGCTCAGCGGTTGGAGCATCGGCCTGCGGACCAGAGAGTCCTGGGTTCAGTTCCTGCTGGGCCCTAGCGGCTAGGGGCACGTACCAAAAAAAAACCCCAAAAAACAAAAACAGAATCAAAAGATCTTTCAACCATGAGAGAGCCAGGGTCTCTAAACTCCCATAATTATTAATACCATTATATACTTTTTGCTAAGTCTGTGTGTGCTTAGAACTTAAAATGCTCATTATGTAATCCTCTAATTATTAAATAATATAATTTATAAGTTAATTAAAATACATTCTATCACTAGAATAAATTACACATTAAGTTATATAGCTTATTATTTTGATAATATTAACCATAAACATATGTAAATCAAATAGATAGTGTACATGAGTTACCTTTTTACAAGACCTAATAAAGAATAACAAAGCTGAGTCAAGATACAACTGGTGGGTAAACATCAGAATCACTCCTGAGCTGAGGTGACTCTACTCCCACAGAAATTCAGAAAAATTAAATTTGTGTTATGTCAGATCCATTCAAACATTGAAAATAATTATGCTAAATTTACAAAATCTAAAGCTCTATGTTGTAATATTTGCTGACCTTTTTCACTGGCTCCCTCCCATATAGTTTTATATTCTTTCAGTTCTATTTTTTCATTATGGAAAGTGACTTCTTTATAATTGTTTAATAAATTCTGGTAAAACTGTACATTTTTTTTGTCCTAAGGAATTATTTCACAAGAAAAGGTCTCACATTTGCATTGCATTTCCATTTACACAGCACTTTGACATCTGTAAAGATAATTAATTTGATCAATTTGACAGTGGCGTTCTGGTTTGATAAGTACTCTAAGGTAATTTCCACTAAATTAGGTTATACATGAAGATGATACAGTACATTGGCAGAGATGATTTTTCATATTGAAGTTCCTGTTAAAAATTCTAGAGTTCTCTGATTTAATATGTAAATTAAGTATTTAGTTTTAAATAGTGATATGATGATTTATGCTATGTGAATACAAATCAGTGCTAATGCACTATATTTTAATACCTGGCACTTTCTGAAATACTACATTGGAATATACATTATCTTTATGTTCCCTATTTTGAAATACTACAAAATTTTACACTACAAAAGCCGGTATGCATTTATTTTATTTATTTATTTATTTATTTTTTTGGTATGTGCCCCTAGTGGGAACTGAACCCCGGACTTTCTGGTCCACAGGCCGATGCTCCAACCGCTGAGCCAAACCGGCCAGGGCAAGCTGATATGCTTTTAGATCATCTTATCCAACACTTCCAAAAAAGGTAATTGAACTATGAGAATTTATTAAGGGATTAATATATCTCAGAGTCTCTGACTCAACTTAAAAACATTTAAATTATTTTAAAGAATTCCATAAGAAAATATATCATTGTATTTTTTTACTATTTTATAGTAAAATTTAAATATTTAAAAAATCTTGTTTAAAGTATTTTTATTTTATCTTGTATTTATTTTAATTAATTAATTTATTTTTGTTACAGATATTTCTCCTTTCCCCCCTAGACACCCTCCTCCCTATCCCCCCACCCCCACCCCCACCCCCAGCATTGTTGTCTATGTCCATTGGTTAGGCATACATGCATGTAAGTTCTTTGGTTTATCTCATCCCTCCCCCTAGACCCTCTTCTGAAGTTTACATTTTTAGAGTAATTTTCTGCATTCTCTTCCTCATAGAAGATGCCTTTAATAACTCTCTTGAGTCAGAGAGTAAGCAAAACCTATTAAGAGAAAAGCTCAAAACTGGTTTCTGTGGATGGCAAAGAGGTAGTAGTTTCATAGTGTAGAAATTGCTGTGTCAGAATAAGTGCTGACTGAGTTTCACAGTCCAATTCACAAACACCTTACATTTTGGCATTGATACTATAATGAAGAGTTAGCAAAATCTTTCTCATTCCTCCATAAGGGCCAGCAGGTATGAAAGTAGAATAGGAGAACACACACCTATATGACTTACTACAATGTGTACAAAATTAACCACAGAACTACAAAAGGACAAAAAAATGATCATGCACCAATGAAGGTTTAGAGGTCTAACCTGAAGAGACCTATTGTGAGGAAAATATATCTTTAAAACACTGTGTTTCTTAAATTAATGCAAATGTATTCTACTCAGAATATTTGTTTAACAAATTTTTAAATATTTATATTTAGACTGAGTGAAATAGATGTTCCAGGAAATGAACATGATTTCTGAGGTTTTGTGTTTGCATTGGTGATCATCATGTACCCTGGTTTTATTTTTTTATTTTTATTTTTTTTTTTCTCGGTTTATCTTTTTTTTTTTTTTTTTATTGATTAATTTTTGTTACAAATGATTCTCCTTTTTTCCCCCAGTGGTTCCCCCCTCCCCCTTCCCTCCCCGCCCCTTCCCCCGATTGTTGTCCATGTCCACTGTTCATGCCTATATGCATATAAATTCTGTTGTTCATCCCTCTCTCAGCTCCCCACTCCTTAGGGGATTGTCCTCAAACTGTTATGTTCATTATATTCCAGAAATCAGTGAGATCATATGAAATTTGTCTTTCTCTGCTTGGCTTGTTTCACTCAGGATGATACTTTCCAGGTCCCTCCATGTAGTCTCAAAGGACAAGAGATCTTTCTTTCTTACCGCTGCGTAGTACTCCATTGTGTATATGTACCACAGCTTTTTAATCCATTCGTCTACTGATGGGCACTTGGGCTGTTTCCAGATCTTAGCGATTGTAAATAGTGCTGCTACAAAGATGGGTGTACCCTGGTTTTAGAAGCACAGACTTGTGAAGTCCCATCAAGGCCTGCCAACTCAGAGATGTTTCCCCAACACGCTGTCATTTAATTTTATTCCCTGTTCCCTCTCCTTTCTGAAGGACATTATGAGTGACCAACAACACTAGAAGAAGCACAAACATTGTAGAAAAAGGATGGTTTCCACCCCAATTTACCCATAGCCCATCAGGGATATGTAGTATAAGAAGTGTGGTCTTTGATACTAGGAATGTGTGCATTCTAGTCACATTTCCAGCACTTCTATGTATGGTCTTGGGGACATCTTTCAACTAGTTTCAGCTTCCATTTCTTGATTATTTATTCTACATAAGGATCGCAATGCCCATTTTGTTATGTCACAGTGGGGTGTAAAGATAGTGTCCATAGAGTGTTTGAAACAGTACATTTATTCATCCAGCTAGCTAGCAGGGCTGGTAGTCACAGGTAAAAGAGCTGTAAGCAGACATGACCCTTGGCCTCCTGGAGCTTAGAGCATATGAGCCAGGAACATAAACAAAAAGAGCAAACTGATAAAGAAACGATTTCATATATTGGTAAGTTTTTAAAAAAGAGAAAAATATGGTCTACTATATTAGTGGTGAAATAACACCGGCTCACATTGGCACAGCTAGTAAGAGCCGTTTTTCTGCATTTCTTCCCAACTCTACGTGAGTGAGATCATGTTGTTCGGTTGAAATAAGACATTGTCAGGTTATTTACACCAAGGAAATCAAGGGCCACCAATCAGCCTTCTTCTCCCCCCTCCCAAAAAGCAGAGCTTGTTTTTATATGTTGACCAGCACACTGCTGGTGTAGTGGTGACAGGGATATGCAAGGATAGTTAACAGATGGGATGGTCAAGCCTTCCTGAGAAGACAGCATTGATTTGAGGACTTAAGAAGGAGCCAATCCTTGCAGAGATCCAGGGTCAGAGTATTTTAGGCAAAGAGAACATTAAGTGCAAAGTCTCATGGCTTGAATATTTGAGGAACAGCTATTTATAAAAAAAATAATTTATGACGGGGCCAATTTCTGAGAAGATACTAACAGACCAGGGTTTCTGAGAATGACCAGGATTGTGAGCTTCTAGGTGTTCAGTATGTGACACTAATTTTTGAAACTGGCTTATGATACAGACAACCTAGGATTTGGAAAATTCGATTAGCTCATGTAAGATGTGCTAACAACAAGTTATAACTTGCTGCTAGAACTTGACAACACACTCATTAGACAAGTAAAGAAAAGGTACCTTTGTTCCTCAACAACTGCTGCTGATTCTTGAAGAACCTGGGGTTGGAAACTAGAAAGGACTAGACTCGAGGCCTACACCTAGCTTCCAGTCTTTTTTTCAGTGAGCAATTCGGAGAGGAGAAAGGAGAGTGAGACAGAAAAGGCGAGTGTGCCAAAAATGCTTTGGAAGGCGTAGGGGACTTGAGCTCCCAAAGGAAAGCCCGAGAAACTGGATCAAAGATCAGGACACTGGGGAAAGTGGTTGCCAAAGAAGAAACACACCACAGTGATGACAGGACTGAGACCCAGTTTGCTTACACTGCCGACAGGGGATGTTGACCCCAGTCTTGGCGGTCCTTTTACCCTGGTTTAATCGTTCACTCATCTTTCAGAAAATTAACTATTTGTGGGCCTGAAATTTAGGGATACATTTTGAAGAGCTTTCTTCTATATTAACTTGTAAAATATCCTGGCCATCTATGTAATAACTATTGTAATTAGATATTATATATCACCGGTTTGGTGGTTGTTAATCCTCACCTGAGAATATATTTTTCCATTGATTTTAGACAGAGTGGTAGGGAGGGAGAAATGAGGAGGAAGAGAGAAAGAGAGAGAGAGAGAGAAACGTTGATGTGAAAGAGACACATCGATTGGTTGCCTCCTGCACTCACCAGACAAGGTCAAGAATGAGCCTGCAACCCAGGTACATGCTCTTGACCGGGAATTGGACCTATCACCCTTCTTTGGGCTGATGCTACAACCACTGAGCCATACTGGCTAGGGCTGTATTAACAGTTTTAATACTTAGAAAACCTTAACATGTTTTCCAACTAAAATGAATTTTTCCTCACAAATAATTCATGTTCCCTTTTTTCTACTTTTCAAAATATTTTTATTGCATGCATTAATAACTTTATTAATTATACTTTACTAACTTTTTAAAAATTATTCAAAGATACATATAGAAAAGATACCTTTGTTCCTCAACAACTGCTGCTGATTATTGGAGAACCTGGGGGTGGAAACTAGAAAGGACTAGACTTGGTCTAGTCCTTTTAATGTTTAATGTTTTAATGTTTAATGTTCCATCTTATCCAAAATTAATAGGAGGAGGTGCTTAAGTGTCAAGGGACACTTAATAACATTACAGTATGACTTTTTTTTTTCTTGCTACAATAAATGGGTAATTTTGCAATAGAATTTCTAGGAAGGTCTTGATAATGCAATGACAATAAAAATAATGGGCTGATTTTCATAACCAAACCATACTTAAAAAGTAAACCTTGCTATTCCAGTGAAAAGCATCATATTCAAATAACTCTCTTCTCAATTATTTGCATTTTAAATGAAGGAAACACATTCATAAGGCTATTTCAAGCAAATGGGAAGGTTAGAAGGCAAAGGAAATAGGACCTCTAGCACCTGTTGCTTAAATGTTATTTAAATATATTTCCTTTTTTAAAGTGAGAAATCAGTTTCAATTATGAGAAAAATAAAATCTAACTCCCACCTGCTCCTGGAGGGATGGACGGGGCTCAGCATGAGGATCCACATGCGAGACTACAGGAAGGTGATAAAGGGCAGTGGTACCCAAAGTGTACTAGGCCTAGTGAGCATCCCAAGGCTCACTGCACTTGAACAAGAGTTAGAGCTTTTCTCTGTGCAGAAATATTGAACATGACATTTTTCTGTTGATAGTTAGGAAAGATATTGTCTTATACCTGAAATGCAGGTCTTTAAAGGAGAATTGAGTTTCGATAATTCCAGTTGTTTTCACTCGGGAATGTAGAACATCTTGCTCATTTGGGACATATCCAGGAACTGTTATTCTGTTCAAATCATTAAGGTAGCTAATAAAAAAATAAAACAAAATAGCATATATATATTAAACTTTTCATTTGAAGATGCCAGGTTTAGGTACAGATGATTTTCTATTGTTGTTTAGAGTCCATTAAAATGATAAAAATACAGACTGGTGATTTTCAAACTCTGTTCATGAGAATTACAAGAGCTGACGTCTGGGCTGTTGCCGAGTCCTGGGGGTGGCAGACAGCTGCCCTGTGGGGGGTGGGGAGCTTAGCTCCGATTTTGTGAGGTGTGTGTGATATATCTGCTGATGTATAGGCAGACTTTTGAGAGAAAAGTTCTCTTTATTAGACTTACATCATCCAAAAATGCTACCTTGTAATGGTGATCACTAGACTAGTCTCAAAATGTTGTAGTTTGTATTTAGGCACTCTGAATTTTAAGAGTAATTGGTTTTAATATCATAATTTAAAAGTTGTATAGTTCTTCATAGATTGTCTCGTTTAGGACTCTGAATAAATTTTGTTAAGCTCTATGATTATGTCCAGTTAGTTCAATAAAAGAAGAAACTTTTGACTTTCTTGCTGGTTCACACTGGAACTATTTAATGAAATTGCTGACCCACCCCGGAGTCAGCTCTCCTGGGAACAGAAGCTGAACCCAGTCCTACTTCCTCTACTCTTCCATCAGAGCATCAGTCCCACTCGTACCCCGGAGATCATGTCTAAAACCCTACAGTTACCAGGCGGAATTCTGTCCTCTCTCTGCCCACTAGACCTAGGAGTGATGAGAGGCAGGAATAAGTCTGATTAAACTGTGTGCTCTATAAGAAGGGTCTGTTAGATTAGAGGAAGGAAACTGCTCTTAGCTTAATCCTGGAAACCAGATAATGTCTTTAGACTAAAACAAAATGTTTTATTGTTTTCAAAACAGCTGATAACCACTGTTCTAAACTTTTGATACAAAAGTTCAGCAATATAGTTATTTCTGGAAAAATGTTAAATAGAGGTAATAATAGACTGGAGAGGATTTTATGACAAAATTGGCCATTATACTGAACCAAGTTTATACATATAGCTTAAATAGACGGATCATGATGGGCTCACATGCATTCAGACAGAATATGAGAGGTAGAATCTATTTGACTATTAATTATTTAAAAGTTGAATTTCAGGGGAACTAAGTTGAAGAACTATTTATTGTGGGAGACTGTTTGCATGGCATCCATTTTGCTAAAATCTGCTCTGCCATCTCCTGCCCCAAGGCAGGATATCTCTGTACACAATGATTCTGCATTCCTTTAAGTAACCATTTACTCAGCCAGTTATGCTCTGTTTGTCTTTTGTTCCACCTGTGATATTTACATGATATTTACTTGAAATTGCTTCGGGTGGTTACCACAAAAATGCTTGGCAACAAATGTTCTTGTTTTTCTGCTTCTTGCCCTATATATACTGTGGATCTCCCCAGAATAAACTAGACTTGATCAGAGCCCTGTCTTGTCTCCATTTCTCATGTCTCTTGTCCCTCCTCATCCTCATCCTCACTCCCCCTCTAGAGTCCTCGTTGCTCGACCTGCGGGACGGGTCACAGAACACGCCATTATTTATGCCTCATCACTTAGCACAATGACTTAAAAAGGCAATTATATTCTATCGTTTGTTAAAAAATAACTTCAACAGCAATATTGATAATTTATTCTTGAAGGAGCTTTCTCCTTTTTTTTTTTTTTTGGTACGTGCCCCTAGTGGGAACTGAACCCGGGACTCTCTGGTCTGCAGGCCAATGATCCAACCACTGAGCCAAACCGGCCAGGGCTCTCCTTCTAAGCCGAAATAAACTTAGAATAAGCAAGAGTTTTGGTCAAGGACAAATAGACAGTCACCCTTCAGAAACACATATATGTAATAACTTAAAAATATATTACCCTGTTTTATTGTAATAAGGTTTAATTTATCTTTAAAAAGAGGACAATAAAGACATAAATATACCAGAAGAAACTATTGGAAGATTTTTCTAGCTTATTTATTCTTTATTTTGTGAATCAAGTTTCTTTGTGAACTTCCTATGGACAGAGTCTATATAGGTGGTAGGTTTATCTTTGGTCAGTTGGTTTGTGCAGGAGCAAAAACAAAACAAACACATACCTGCCATAATAAACATTACATTTATTTTCATAATAAGTAAATGAATGCTTTGGTAAAGACATATTTTAATGTACTTTTATTTGTATATATAAATCATATCAAGCAAAGCAGAAGTGTTAGCAGAGTGAGAGATTTGCATTTAAAATATTTGTTTTTATAAACAAATATAGAATTTGGGTGCTCAAGCCCGTGGGCTAAAACTTAAACCAAACCAGAGGCCCTATATTTATATAACTCAAATCACTTAAAAAATATTTAATTATTTTTGTAATCATGTAAAAATAGGATTTTTTTCTGGTCAAATCTATATTAAATCTTAAAGCATGTGGAATTTCAATAGCACACTAGACAGCCTCAATGAATAAACCAAGTATTAATTATAATATTTCCTCTATTTGTCACTGTCATGATAATTTTCCTTCAGTTTGCCAGTAATGATAGTGGGGCAGGTGCTATGTTGCCAACAAACAATATTAGTTTTCCTTCCACTGCAGAGGACTTATCTCCATTAGTTCCAGTTTGAAGAGGATCTGTGTTTGAAAGAGTAACAAATATCTCACTTTCACCAAAAATTGACAGAAAGAGAAATGAAGAAAGGAATGAAAGAAGGGAGGAAGGAAGGAAGGAAGGAAGAAAAAAAAGAAAGAAGGCAGGAAAAAAGAGAGGAGGAAAGAAGAAAGAGGAAGGAGAGAGAGGAAGAGAAAGGAAGGAAAGAAAAGCAAGAGAACGAGGCCATTGCTTTATATAATGCATATGAAATAGACATGAATATGCTACTGATCTGATATTATATTTACTAGTTTTAAAATGTGAATGCCATTTAGTATTTACAATTACTAAGATCTGGAAACAGCTCAAGTGTCCATCAATAGGTAAGTGGATAAAAAAGCCATAACATATACACAATGGAGTACTACGCAGCTGTAAGAAAGAAAGATCTCTTATCCTTTGAGATGACCTGGAGTGACCTGGAGAGTATTATGCTAAGTGAAATAAGCCAATCAGAGAAAGACAAATACCACATGATCTCACTTAGTTGTAGAATATAATGAACAAAGTAAACTGAAGAACAAAATAGACCCAGAGACATAGAAAGGAGTAGGGTTCAAACTGACAAACCTCAGGGGAGGGGGGTCGGGTGGAGGGAACAGATAAACCAAAGAACTTATATACATACATGCATAACCAATGGACATTGACAACAATGCAGGGGGTGGGGGAGATCAGGAGGAGAGTGTCTAGGGGGGAAAAGAAGAAATATCTGTAGCAAAAATAAATTATTAAAAAAATAAAAATAAATAGTTTAGAAAGTATAATAAAATGTAATTTTAATTACCCATTTTGACTACAATATGTAAATATTTTTTTCTATCAAAGACCAGAGAACTTGGTAAACATATGATAATATAACTGTACATAGATCTTTTACAGTATTTTAAGGGAAAATCATGTTAAACAATAATGTGTATCTAAAACAAATAACAGCTGTCTATCATCTATCTAATTTATCTAACTTTGCTTCCTCCCTTTTTAGAACTTTGCTAAACAATTTTTAATGAAAATATTCCATATTTCAGTTTCTTACTTATTGTGACTGCTCTTATCAGTGATCATATAGAAAAGCAATGTTTTCTATACCACAGACAACCCTCTTAGTATTAAAATGTAATTAGGTACTGGGATACTTATAAAAACAGTTATTTAAGTTTATATAATCACAGGATGATATCCATCCTCTCCTTCATCAGTGAGACAAGAGCTGGTCAAGGGCAATGTGCCCACTGGGTTTGGAATTTAAAATGAACCTGAATGAGTAATCACAGAAGACTGTTATCTTTTCTTAGAATTTATGTGGTATGTTTTCTCTCCATAATCCTTCTGCCGAGTATGATTATTAAAAATCTTAAGTATCATGCAAATTGTATTGTTCTGTCCTCAAGTAATCTTTCATTTGTTTCACTTTCACATTTGTTTCACATTGGCTTGCTTTGTTTTTTTAAGTACTGATAACATGTTCTGTTTGGGGTTCAACAAAAGAACTGTTTATATCTTTTTCCACATTCTGTGCATGGACAGGAGTATACTGAAATAATGAAACTATATTTACAAGACATGCTGACACATAATTCTAGGCATATGACTGTGGGATAAGAACCACTTACTAAAATGGAAACTTAAAATCATTTTGATAATGAATTTATAAATAATGTCACAACTTCCTAATTTCCTTGTGGCTGATAATAGCTAACTGGAGGAAAGCTGTGAAAACAATATAACCTTCCTTGAGATTCAAAAAGAACTCCACGATGTACAAATATTGTGGATATCAATCCATTACTTCTTTCTAGAACTCTGTATCATGTTCCTTAAATCTAAGAAACCTCAAAGCGCGTGTCATTAATAAGATTACCTTAGAACATATGAAGTAGAGATGAAAAGACTAGCCGTAGCCCTCGTGTGCATAACACCACTCTGTGTTTACGTTGAACACAATGCAAAATGATTAATTCTTTTTAATTTGAAGAACATATTTAAAACATAGATCGTCTAAGGAAAATAATTTCAAATTAGTTATTTAAAATGTTCCCCTGGTTATATTTTTTTACATCTCATATCATTTTGATCTTTTTTATTTCTCTTGTATTATTTTTTTAAAAATACAATCTAAAGTCATTTACATTTCTCATTTGTGATCAATTGCAAAATATACAATTATAATTTTTAATTTTTAATATTTTAACCACAATTCCTGTTAAAACGTAATCACTTACTAAGCTGCGGAGTCATGGAGCTGATATTCTGACGACCTTTCGAAGCAGGTCTGAATTCCTGGATCTGCCCACAGCCGTTTTATTACCTCCGCCAGTTCAGGCGTCATTGTGCCATCTTCTATGGTATTTGCCATTGCGCAAAGTTGTCGCTGGTCTTCCTGTGGCAATGTTTTTATGAAAAGAATAAATATGTGTTGTTATTTGAAATCACATTTTTTAATTAGAGCATTTCGATGGGATGATTTTATATTATTCCTTTAGGTAATAATTCTATTGAACTTAGTCAATATATCTTAAGGTTAATAAAACCAAACTTCTTTATAATCCCTGGTTAATACCCCAAAGAGTTCTCCATTGTAAAAACTAATATATTTAAATATTATAATTAAACATTTAGGATATTTTGGTATATATTCCTAACTTTGAGTATTATGTGAAAAGGGATAATATTTTGGTGTAAGTCCATTGAGCTTAGATGGTCAAAATGCTGGTAAAAGAGTAATGGATCTGGTGATCTAAATTGGCACATAGTCTTCCTTTGATCATTACCATATTTTTTTTTCTAGGAAATAAAAATATCAAGTAAGAATAAGAGCAAAATGGAAAATAAAACTCAGTATTCTAAAGTTGTACTTAAAAAATCGATATACAATATTATTTGCCATCATGTACCTCTTTGTAATCATATAAATAATTAATGGTAAACATTTTGATCCACTCAAAATTTTGAACATCCATGCTTTGGGGCAAATTAATAGGGTAGGTCAGACAAATAAATATCAATCAATCAATCAATCAATAGAAGGGAAGGGAAAAGGAAAGGAAAATTGAAAAGAAAGTGAGCTATATAGAGTGCTCATACAACTCAAAAAAAGGAAGACAAAAAACCCAATTAAAAAATGGGCAGAGTAGCTGAATAGACACCTCTCCAAACAGGACATACAAATGGCCAAGAGACATGAAGAAATGCTCAACATCACTAATCATCAGAGAGATGCAAATTAAAAACAACAATGAGGTATCACCTCACACCTGTCAGAATGGCCGCCATCAACAAATCATCAAACAACAAGTGTTGGCGAGGGTGTGGAGAAAAGGGGACTCGAATACACTGCTGGTGGGAATGCAGACTGATGCAGCCACTATGGAAAACAATATGGTGTTACCTCAAAAAATTAAAAATTGAACTTCCATTTGACCCAGTGATTCTGCTTCTAGGAATATACCCTAAGAAGCCTGAAACACCAATCAGAAAGAATATATGTACCCCCATGTTCATAGTAGCACTATTTACAATAGCTAAGATCTGGAAACAGCCCAAGTGTCCATCAGCAGACGAATGGATAAAAAAGCAGTGGTACATATACACAATGGAGTACTATGCAGCGGTAAGAAAGAAAGATCTCTTATCCTTTGAGACGACATGGAGGGACCTGGAAAGTATTATCCTAAGTGAAATAAGCGAAGACAAATACCACATGATTTCACTTATATACGGAATATAATGAACATAACAGTCTGAGGAATACAGGAGACCCAGAAACGTGGAAGTGGGGCAAAGATTGACATCCCTCAGAAGAGGGGGTGAAGGGTGGGAGGAGCTAAACCACACTTATATGCATGTATACATGACCAATGGACATGGACAACAAAGCTGGGGATGGGGTGGGGGTGGGATGGGGTGGGGAGGGGGTTGCCAATGGGGTAAAAAAAGGAGAAACATCTGTAACAAAAAAAAAAAAGTGAGCATTGTGTTAATCCTGATGGAATATTTGGAGCTAACATCAAAAAAGAAATAAAAGTACACTGAGTAAATAATCTAGTCCACAGTTTGTCTAAACTAAGTATCAAATCGGTTTATTGACAAAACATTTTAAGAAGAAGAATTTGAATTTTATAATAATTATTGACCATTATAGACCAGATAGATGAAGTCTGGGCTCACATTCTGGTTGTCAGACTCTAAAGCTCATGCTCATGCCTGCACATATCATTATATTTCCACAACAGTTAGCACACATGTTGTATCTCACATGATACAACAATCACATAGACACTATATTTTTTCCAACTTTACAAATGAGGAATCTAAAAGTAGGTGGTTAAGGTGGCAAACTAATAAAGACAATAAACATCAGAAGAAGAGTCAAACCCAAATATATTTTGTACAATGACAGGGGTATGTCCAATAAGAACTTGCTGGTTTTCTGATACAATTTAATTTACTATTATTTTAAATTGATGCTAAGCTTATTTTACTGTCTTATTAAAAATCTTTTCTTTGCATGAAAACCAAGGGTATGTTTCTCAATGTTAGAGAGGGGCTTTCTTAAAATTAAAAGTCTTATTTTTGTCTTTCTTCCCACTGAGGTTTTGTTGCCAAACCAAAATGATCAAATGACCATTAGGCCAAAAATTTTAAGTGGTCGAAATCAGTCTTCACCCCCTTTTTTTGTATCAGCACAGGGTAAGTTTTAAATCCTTCTTCCTGATTAGTTGGATGTAAAAGAGAATTGCAAAGCCACTGTTGCTGGCATCATCTTATTTGCCTCTTCCCATTATTAAAATAACATTGAGGAGAAATGATACAATGAAACAATAGTTCAAACAGTTCTGTGCCTATAGGGAAAAAACTACATGCCTTATTAGCATACCTTTGCAAACCAAGCTAATAAACTTTTCTTTCTCTTTAAAATTTTCCATTCTTAATTTAAGTATAGTTTGTTTGTATAGATATCATGAACATAGTCTCACCTTGAACATTTAAATGTCACCAAGTCCTCTTTGACCACTACATCAATCCTAGTACCTCCCCCAAGAGCAAGAAATTCTATCGGTTTGGCTTTTGTCTCTCTAGATTTTTATTTTTTATTCTATTGCATTCATAACTGAAGTTGGTGGTGGTTTTCAAATTAGGCTGCATTTAATAAGCTTGTAGGGCACTTCTTAAAAATATTGATACCAGGACCCCAACACAAACAGAATGATTCAGAATCTCTGGGTGTCAGTTACTGCAAAGGTATTTTAAAGAATCTCTCAAGTGACTCAAATGTGTAGCCTGAGTTGGGAATCAATATACAGGTTTGTTTTTTAAACCACAAGTAATTTCTCATTGAACATGTTATATTTCCATTCTTGAAGTTCTTCTCCATTTGTTAAAGGGCTAACGTGGCCATTTCAAGAATCAAAATTCATCTGTTTAAGGGATTGGGTCTATCAAACAAATTTGAAATTTTAAAATATATAACACCAAAATTAACAGGTATTATGCGACTTTGTCTTCTACATAACAGCCAGCTTGATGGAAAACTGAACTCCTACCACTTATCTTACTCCAGTATTTTAAAAGCTCCAGTACTTTCTCATCAATTTCAAAATAAAATCCGTATATCTTATTATTGCTCACAAGGCTCTACATTTTTGAGCCATGACTTTGTTTTCACCCTTATTTCTCTCTCTCTTCCTTTCCTCATTTTCTCAAGAACCACAGGACTCCTTACTCTTCCTTGAACTCACCAAGCCCCTGTTTCAGAAATCCTTCCTGTCTTCCCCATTGCTCACTTCCTGCTTCACGTAGGTCTCTTCCCAAACACCACACCCTCAAAGATGCCATCCGTGGTCACCTTTTCTTCCATTCTTTTATTATTCTCTAGACCCTTACCCTCCTTGCTTTTTTTTTTCATAGTACTTACTAATACTTATGTAGTGCATATGTCTTTATTTTATATCTTTTATATTAGACTTTAAAAACTCCAAGGCAGATATTTTTGTGTTTTGTTTATTTTTGCATCCTTAAGAATGAGAACAGAACCTAATATATATATACATCTCTGAAATACTGCTGAATGAATGAATCAATAAAATAAATACATTATCTCAGACCACATGTTATAGAGAAACTTTAAGAGATCTCTAATAATTTTTCAAATTTTTTTTTTTATAGCTTCAAGGGGGAGGGAGTGAGTAGCATGCTGAGAAATTTTATTTCCTTATAATTACTTGGAAAAATATGAAAATTATGGTGGCTCTAGAATGGCTCATTCGAAATTGCATGATTCTGGGATTATTGCTGGGAACCCAAAATATATATTTTTCTCTATAGGTTACCCAGAACTTTCTCATCAATACTGGGGACTCAGGTGGTCCTAGAACCTTATAAAACTTGTTCTGAACCCTAGACTTGCATTTCCAAAGATCGTAAAAAATATCTGTCAAAGGAAGGAAAGGATATCATAACCTAGTACTTTGGGAAAGTGCTAGTTTAAAAGTGCAAGGTTGGTTGCTTCAGATTTTTAGAACCTTTGAACACGAATATTGTTCGCAAATTTCCAAGCAGTTGTAATAGTACATATATCCCAGACTTATTTGATCACAGAATCTGTATCATAGAACATCTTCAGGAATCAATGTTCCCTGGTTCAGATTGTAGAGTTCACTTTGTAGTGTGCTATGCCAAAGGTGGTCACAAAATACCCAGATTATGTGATAAAAGTGTTATAACTTAAAACATTCTTTTATGTTGGTCTTGTGGCTATTTTAGGGGTTCTAAAGTGGAATATAATAGTATTCAGAAAGGGTAAATAGAAATTTACTAAATGCCCTTTTTTCTGACCCCTCTTGTCTCTTCAGCTTTACTTTCTTTATAAGCACTATATTCTTGAAGTTGGTCTATGAAGTATTAAACCTGTAAAACTAGCAAGAACAAGTTTCCTTTCAACTACAGATATTATATCTCTCCTATTTCTCAACACACTTCAAGGTACTCCGCATCCAAAACTCTTCAGAAACCTCTCATTATATACCCAGTTCTTATATATATACTTCATTCTTACCTTTTCAATGTATCTAACCTCTTTGGAAAACCTGTCTTGAATTCTATGATTCCACACACTCCTGGTTTTCCTCCTACTATTCCATGCTCTCCTCCAAGGCTTCCTGTTCCTCTCAAAGGACCAGAAAATGTTGGAGTTTTCCATCACTTTTTCCTACGTCTCTATTCTCCTTAGTGCCCTTCTCAGTCGAAGCACTTGTCTGCTGCCATTCTGACCACTTCCTCAGTAAGTTGTACATCACAATGTAATGGTATGCCATTAACACCAAGATTTAGTTGAAATCTCACAGAATCTACACATATTCAACATTTCCAAAACAAAGCGAGTTAGTTCTCCCCCACCCCCAGTAGTGATAGTATTCCCTTTCTCTGTACTTTTTTCAGAGACGGAGGAGGAACTCACTCCACGTCTGGGCTGCCCTTTGGAGCTAGCTGACGCTTCGCAATTACTTGTTCAATATCACCTTTGCTCCTTTGAGGGCAAATACTCTTTTCACCTTGTTTACTGCTGATTTATGTGTATATCCCCAGTGTCCAGACAGTTTTCTGCCATAAAAATAATATTTTAATTAAAATATTTTTAAATGATGTCAGATGTGCAGATTTCAATTATGCATTTTAATTTGCCTATATTCAAAGTGATTACTGACAAGTAGTAATACCTAATATTTACTGGGAGCTTACATTCTGCAATATATTGTGTTTAAATGGATTTCTTATGTTTCTGTTTTGTTCTACAATAGTCACTGTAATTCAGTGAGGACAGCTCTAACATTTTGTGGATAAAGCAACTGAAATTAGAAATATGAAATAACTTGTCTAAACTTACAGAACCAGTGATCAAGAAGCTCATTTAAATTTTCTGTTAAGACTCTTCCCCTCTTTGAATAGCAATCTGTATGATAATGTACAACAGTAATATAAGAATATGTAACCTGGCATAAATAAACAAATCAAAAGATAAATAGAAAGCAGTAGGAAATCAGAGCTCTGAATTCTATACATTGGTAAAGTTTTTAACAATTAACCTGTTAAATATGCAGCTTAAGTCAGGTACAGGTAATGCATTAATCTTAGAATCAAATACTGAAGATTGTGATTAAAACTTCTATTATTTATGTTAGATTAAATAAAAATATGAGCTACATAGTGCCTGACAATGGTGATGCTTGAGAACATAGGAACTCCTGAGAAGTTGTGCCAATTGCTTAGTGCTGCTTAAGTTAATCTGTTTTTCTTTTCTATTCAATGTACAGTTTGAATAAATTACATTTGTTTTTGTTTTTTAGTTGACATAATGGCAGCAATGTATCTTCACTCCCTGAATGCCAGATCTTTAAGACACTTAACCAACAGATTTCAGGTCTTGGGTGATTGCAGGCATCAGCTGTTTTAAAACACTGGGCTATATGAAGTGCACGATATATTCACAATATATTTAAATAAGTAGCAATAGGCAAGGTTGTGATTTCCTACTTCAGTGATGCAAATATATGTAATATTACACATGCAAATTAAAACATTACATTATTCTCTAATGAATGCAGAAAGAACACGTGCTTTAGGAATTATTACAGGTTACAAGAAAGAAAATAATTATTACAAAGTATTTTTACAAAATACTTTGCATTGGAAGAAGTACTCTAATAGAAGACAGGGGAAGTGGGTCTTGCTCTAAACTCCAGCAATTTAAGGGAGACCAAATTACTAATCCTTTCTGGTCCTTATATTTTTATATCTTTAAGTAAGGAGGTTACACCAGGTTGTTTTTTAAGGACCAGTTCAAAATCCTAGGTTTGTAGGAAAAGCCAGGGTCAGAGTGAAAGCGGAAATACCCTTGAATAAAAACATGATCACTATGTATAGAATGATTTAAAAAAAAAAAAAAGGATATTGGAGTTTAGTTCGTGTAAGTTTTCCTTTTACATAAGAGAGAAAAACTGTAACCCAGAGAAGTAGGTGACATACTGGAGCCAAGTTGTGGGGTAAAAGCTATAAATGGAAGCAGCACGTAGCAGAACTCCTGGCTTTTCTTTACTAACGATTTCCCTAAGTATATTCCCATGCTCTTCATCAGAAAGTGGCAGAACTAAATCTAAGTGAAAGCATTTACTACTCCCTTTAAAATTAGCAGTATGAGGTTCCTCAAAACTGAAAAATAGAACTACTATGTGATCCAGCAATTCTGCTTCTGGGTAGCTAACAGGAAGAAAGCAAAAACACTAAGTTTAAAAGATATATGCATCCTTGTATGTTGATTACAGCATTATTCACTAGCCAAATAAGCAACATAAGTGTCCATAGATAGAAGAATTTATAAAAAATTTGTTTTTTATATGCACACATATAAACACACACACACACACGTATAATGGAATATTACTCAATTATAAAAAAAGAATGAAAAATTTAAAATGAAATTGCCATTGGACCCAGCAACCTCACTTCTGGAATATATCCTAGCACCCCCAAAACACCAATCAGAAAGAATACATGCACCCCTATGTTCATAGTAGTATTATTTGTAATACTTAAGATCTGGAAACAGCCAAGTGCCCATCAGTAGATGAGTGAATAAAAAAGCTGTGGTACATTTGCACTGTGGAATACTGTGTAGCGATGAAAAAGAAAGATTTCTCCCACTTTGCGACAGCATGGATGGACCTGTAGAGTATTATGCTAAGTGAAATAAGCCAGTCAGAGAAAGAAAAATATCACACAATCTCACGTATTTGTGGAATCTAATGAACAAAATAAATTGACCAATAAAATAAGTACAGAGGCATGGAGGCATGGAACAGACTGACATATGGTGGGGGGTGGAGGAGTGGGAACAGATTAACCAAATAACATATGTGTGTGTGTGTGCATACACACACACACACACATATATTCCATGGACACAGACAATAGTGTGGTGAAGGCCTGGGGGGGGGCAAAGGGGGGCAAAGGGCGAGGGGAAATGAGGGACATCTGTAATAATGTCAACAATAAAAAATATATTAAAAAATGAAATCTTACCATGTGCAATGATATGGGTGGACTTAGAGGGTATTATGCTAAGTAAAATAAGTCAGAGAAAAACAAATAGGTTATGATTTGGGGAGGAGTAAAAAAAGGTGAATAAAAATAAGAGGCAAAAACTTCTAGTTATAGAATAATAAATCACAGGGATATAATGTGCAATCCATAGTATCAAATTAACTTTGTGACAGATGGTTACTAGATAGATTGCTGTAATCACTTCATAAGGTATATAAATATTGAATAACTGTTGTATACCTGAAACTCATATAATATCAACTATGCTTTAGGGAAAATAAGAAAAAAAATTAGCAGCATGAGATATTTTCTTTTCATCTTAATGGCTTCCAAATGTCATTTACATTGTCTAAAGTACTGGTAAAATGGGGGAGAGAAAAGTATAAATGCCACTTTTTTCTCTGTACTTACTATATTGTTCCTCTCTATTTTTATTTTTATATAGCAAGGTATCAAAGAATTTCTTTGGGATCAATTCAACTGACATTGGATGCTACCAGTTGCTCCTGGAGAGGAATATGCGAATGGGTGAGTTCTTCCCATGAATTATACACAATTAGTCCTTTTTTGGGTGTGGCCAACTATTGTTCTTTGGATAATGCTATATGTTTTATTTTTCAACTAAAATGGTTTTATATGCTTGCACATGAACTATTTTAAAGCAAGTGGATTTTAAATGTATTTTAATATAAAATAATTATTTTGCAAAATATAAAACAGAAGAAAAATAAAGTTACTTAGTTGCTATCTTAACAAAACTATGACTACTTGAGTATATATATTATAGAAACATTTTATTAATCACATAATTTTGAATTCTATAAACATTATGTGCTACAGTCTTTGTAATCATCACTGAACAGTAATAATTGCAGTGTTTTTATTAAAAAGAAAGTCTCCATGAAGTTACTCACAATTAAACTAAGAAAATAAATGTAGAGACATTGTAGTTTAATTTTTATGGAATCAACTCTTTTGTACTTAGCAAACATAAACAATATTTTTCTCTAATATAGTATAGTATTTGATATTAGGATTTACTTCTAGGAACAACTAATGTTGAATAAGGTTATGGCACACAGTCAAAAAGAAAAATTTCATTTAAAGGTAAATAGGAAGTGTTACGCTAAAAAGAATTAATGTTTCCAAAATTCATATTTCATATTAAGTTTTGGCATAGATTAGTATTACAAATTTATTAAGTTCTACTGTTTTATGGCTTCACCATTGTAAGTCCTAAAATTGTAATTCTTTATATACTTACTGCACTTCTAGAATTTTCATAATCAATCCCAAGGGTAGTCATGGCTTTCACAATAGCTAGGATAGATTGCAATGTATTACTGAAAATTACTGCTTTGAACTCCATGCATTCTTGCTCACTGTAACCATTCTTGTGGATGATCCTATAATTTAAACACGAAAAGCTTTTGTGAGTTGAGGAATTGCATTTTTTGTAATATTAAAACACATCAACAATAACTTGCTTGAATAAAATTACAGTATATATTTGCTTTAAAAAATTTTGTCCATATGTATATGTTAAATTTGAACAATTTTATGGTTTTTGGATTTTTATTATTATTTGGGTTTAATATAATATTTTCTTTCTGAGCTCCTCACACTAAATATAAAGACAACTTAAGATTTTTTCCAGATAAAGCACTATTAAAAATAGGTAAATCGCCCTGGCCGGTTTGGCTCAGTGGTTAGAGCATCCATCTGTGGTCCGGAGAGGCCCGGGTTCGGTTCCCGCTAAGGGCATGTACCTCGGTTGCAGTTTGTCCCCGGCCCTGTTGGTCATGCGGGTGGCAGCCACTCGATGTGTCCCTTTCACATCGATGTTTCCCTCTCTCTGTCTCCCTCCCACTCTGTCTGTACAAAAAATGGAAAAATGTCCTCGAATGAGGATTAAAAAATAAATAAAAATAGGTAAATCATGCCCTGGCCAATTTGGCTTAGTGGTTAGAGCACTAGCCTGTGGACCAAAGAGTCTCGGGTTTGATTCCAGTCAAGGACACGTACCTCAGTTGTGGTTCATCCCCGGCCCCAGTCAGGGTTGTTTGGGAGGCAACCAATCCATGCATCTCATATCAATGTTTCTCTCTCCCCCCCTCCCACTCTATCTGAAAATCAATGGGAAAATATCCTCAGGTGAGAATTAGAAAAGAAATATATAGGTAAATCATGAGCATTTTACCTAGAAAGCTTATTTCTTTTTAGGAGAAAAATTTCCAGATTCCCAAGACCAAGTTGTACAAGTAGTTCTAAAATGTTTTGTAGTGTTTATGACATGATGTCTACAGGAAGAGAAATAATTTAGTACGAAACGCATGCCTTTTCCTTTCACTTAGGACACCCTAGAAAATTGGAGGGCCTGCTTTCTGTATAAAGCAGTAACAAAGGCATCTTTTTTTAGTGTGGGTAGTTACCAGCTGTTACATTCCGTGTAACATTCCATGTGTTTGGTGCTTCTGGGAACTCAGAGATGAAAGGCCCGGACATTTAATTTGGCTGAATTGTTATTTTCCTTCCACTCATTCAGTCAGCGCTCAACAGTTCAACTACTAGTTTTAGAATAACAGATTAAAATAGATTTACCTATTAAAAGCTAAGATCTTCGCGTATGCTAATTACTTTATTGCAAATTTCTTATTGCTATTTTTTTTTTTCTTATTGGTTTTGAAATGCTTTGTGTTTTTTAGGCATTCTTTTGGATGTCATGTTACTAAAATTTATATCCATTCACATAGAGATTTTAGCATAGCAGGAAAAAGAATACAATATCTCCCAAGATGTTAAAACCTTCAAATGCAAGGATTCGGCATTTGAAAGGAGTAAAAGCAGTATCTATATCTATTCTTTATTTTTAATATTTTATTGCCAATAATTGCTGTATGTATACTACAAATATGGCCATATTTATCTTGGTGTATTAAATAATTAAATAACAATGTAAATTTAGTAGTCAATTAAAGGTATAGAAAAATGCAGTAAAATATTTTATGGATAGATCAGGAATAAGTTTATTAAAGAAATTCCAGTTCCTAGTCAAAACTTAAAATTGGAAAAAATTTTAAATTATTAAATTAGAATGCCAGTTATAAATAGACTTGGGAACATTTAGATTTTCTTCCTGGCACAAGTTCTGATCCCTTTCCTTTCACTACTGAAGAAGGAAACATTTATCACAAAGCACAATAACAAAATGGACTAGAATATCCAGCTGTAGTGAGAATGTAAGCAACTTGTTTCTCTAGGAGCTGCATAAATGTATTTCTGTGAAATAGAGCTCTGTACTTGCAAGTTGATTCCTAGCTCTGTTCAAATTAATACATTTTTACTGGGCATTTTCTGTAACATATCACATTATGCACTGAGAAGAATGAATAAAGTAAACAAACTCCTTTTCCCCCCAAAACATATAAACTAGAGCTCCACTTTCCAACACAGTAGCCACTAGACACATTAATTCAAATGAAAAGATATTAAAAATTTAATTCCTCAATCGCACTAGCTCTAATTAAGTTCTTAATAGCTACATGCAGTTTGTGGCTAGGAGCTATCGTGGGGAAGAGCACAGATATATAATCCCTTTCACCTCAGAAATTTCTATTGGAGAACAGTGGATTTCAGGAAGGAGAGTATATCTGATTTTTGTACAATATGACAATGTATAGCAACAACGTCTGCATGGTACAATGACCTAGAAAAGAAAAAGTGATAAATTTTATCACTTTGTAGACTGCCTAGGAACAATAATGATCAGTTGAATTTTAAAGAATAAATAGTTATTTCCAGATAATCAAAGGGAAGAGAACAACCTAGGCAGAAGAATCAGTAGGATCAAATATAACGCTTACAATCATCAAGCTTTCCATCTGTGTCACAAACTTTTTTAAGCACTTTGTCTTCTCATTTTTTTTTTTTTTTACAATAAGCTCTTTAAAGTATATAAAATTATCACCTACATTGTACAGGTAAGAAACATAGTCAGATACATTAAGCAACTACCCTTAACTTAGTTAATGGTATAGCTAGGCAAAAAATGCAATCTGATTTTACAGCCCATAATCTATAGTGTACATCGAGATCATAAATTCAGTGTTTCTGAAGCATACAGTGGGAAGGAGGAAATTATGGGACATTAGGAATAACGAGACAGACAAAAGCTGAATTTTGAAGTGTCTTATGTATTTCAAAGAAGTGTCGTTTTTGAAGTTTAATCAAGATAGGATAAGTGAAGAATTCAATTTAGGATATACAATCATTTCTTAAAGAGATCAATTTGTGATAGTGTGAATAATGCAAGAAGAGGAAGAGGATGGGTTAGAAACTACTTAGCCAGATACTGTATTAATTCAGGTCAGAAACAATGAGGTTTTTAACTAAGAAGTGACAATAGCCTGGCTGGTGTGGCTCAGTGGATTGAACATCATCCCATGGATTGAGTGGTCCCAGTTCAATTCCTGGTCAGGGCACATGGGTTCGATCCCCAGCGGGGGACATGCAGGAGGCAGCCAATTAATGTATCTCTCGCACACGATGTTTTGTCTCTCCCTAAAAAAAATCAATAAAAACTTATATATTTTTAAAAAGGAGTGTCAATAAAGATACATGACTTGTTTGGAGACATAATTTGTGTAGATGTGGCATATTCGGTGAAGGCTTGATGGCATCAGCATAACTACATCTAGATTTATTGCTTTTGAGGTTGGTGTTGCTATCATTCATTTAATGAAATAGAGGCCAGATGGAGGGATAAATTCAATGTTTATTCTGATTTGGACCTATACATAGACTATAGAAGTAGAAATATCTGCTTCCCTAGTTTAGACAAACTGACTGAATTTGAAAGAAATATTCTGGACAATCTGCTTGAAGATGATAGTAAAATCATCAGACTCTAGCAGTTTTATTTTGGTGAAGATATAGAGTAAGTAGAGAAGAGGACCTAGTACATTAGTGACAATAACATTTAAGAAAGATGCAGTCAAAGAATCAGGGAGTAAAGAAGACAGAGTTAGCCCTGGCCTGTTTGGCTCAGCGGTTAGAGCGTCGGCCTGTGGTCCGAGAGACCCAGGTTCGGTTCCCGCTAAGGGCATGTACCTCGGTTGCAGTTTGTCCCCAGCCTGGTTGTTCGTGCGGGTGGCAGTCACTCGATGTGTCCCTTTCACATCGATGTTTCTCTCTCTCTCTTCCTCTCTCTTCCTCTCGCTCCCTCCCACTCTATCTGTACAAAAAATGGAAAAATGTCCTCAGGTGAGGATGAAAAAAAAAAAAAGAAGAAGACAGAGTTAGGAGGTGGACTAGGAAAGAGAATTATCTCAGAATCCAGGCTAACATACTAAGAGGGAGAAGCCCAATAAACTCAAATGGAATTAAAATAAGGACTTATGAATACTTCATAAAAATGACAATTAGGAAATCATAATTGATGTTTATAAGGGCAATTTCTGTGACACACCAATGGAAATGGTTGAAGAGTAATGGAAAGTGGAAGAATAGAGCAAATTGGTGTTTACTATTCCTAAAAAGACTCAGAGAAAAGGAAGGAGAGATGGAGCAGAACCAGGAATTTATTTTATTTTATTTTTTTAGTAATAGAAGTAATACTTGCTCATTTTAGAAAATGTAAACTGCTCAGCAATATTCAAAATGAAGGTGCAATGTAACTTTAAATCTCACTATTGAGAGTAAATGTATTTGAATATTGATATATGTTCTTCCATTGTAGAAACATTATCTATTTTGTCATAGTTGAGATAAAGTTATTAATGAAATTTTATATATTGGTTTTTCAGTTAACATTAGTTATTTTCTTTTATTAAAATTTTTCATATACATATAACTTGTAATGGAGGTAAAATATTACAACTGAAAGGTGAATAATCCCATAATTTCACAATCTATTTGATTATGTTTTATTTTAAAGTATTTTATTCTAGCTTGTATTTCAACATTTTAAATAAGATGAATATGTCTCTTTGTGCATGCATTTTCATATTTAAATTATTTTATTTTTATGCCCCTTTATTTTAAAATTGTTATTATAAAAATTCTCAAAAATGTGTTTAAATGATTAGTAATTATTTTATCACCTTACTGTGCATAATTGCCAAAATTATTTTTATACATTATCTATAACATAATTTTACAAGTAATAATGAGAAATATTCATTTCTCAAAACATCACCTTATTAGGTAATATTACCTTGAAATTGTTTGCTAATTTACAAAGATACAAAACAGCTCATTATTGTTTTAATTTTTTACATCAGTGAGCTTAAATTCAATATATATATTTAATAGATACTTGAATTGTGTCTTTTGTGGACTGTCTGTTCATAATCTCTTCACATTTATATATATTGGGCAGCTTTTTTTTCTTAACAATCTATAGATCTTTACATTTTATGATATTCAATTATCTATCATATTTATTATAAATTTTTTCAAATTTTCTGTTTGCTTAATTTTATTTATGGTTTAATATTTTTGAAAGTTTTAATTTTTATATAGCCAAATAACTGGTCACTTCTTCTCTTATTGAATAGAGAATGGGCAGGTAAGAAGGATAAAAGGGATGCAAGCATAATTATAACCTGCAAGAAAAGAACAGGTGAATACAATGGTAATGTTATAAGGAAACACAAGATGACTTAAGTACAAGGGTGGAGCCGAGAACTCAAAAGCAATGTGATCAGTGATATGGTTAAAGGAGTTCTGTTCTTCAAAGACAGGCAAAAAGGTCAATAATTTAGTTACAGATATAGGTGACAGAATTCAAAAGTGGGGTTTAAATATTGATTGATATTGAACTCACATGACATTAGGTAGAAAGAAGAAAAAAGCAGTGGTTTAGATTATAGACAATTTCATCATTAACTGGAATTATTCCCTCATATGATATGTGCTAAAAATAAGATCCTTGAGCATTTAATTAAAAATAAGCAAAAAATATATATATATATATTCTCCTATAGCAGCAGTTGAATTAAAAATTCACCTGTGGTGACAGAGCCATGAAATTTCACATATTTATTTTTACTTATCAATTGCCATTTTATTTATTTAGGTATTGCATTCTGGAATCATAACATTTTGTGTTCATTATCTCTTTATTAAGAAATGCAGGTCTATTTATTTTATTATAAAGAGGAAAAAGTAGAGAAAATAAAGAAAAAAATTAATTTAAATCCATGAGAGCCATAACTTTAAATATGCATTTTATCCCCAGGTAGGCAAAATACTAGTTAGGTTAAAAATATTATGTTCTAAATTCAAATGGATCATTGATTGAAATATTTCAAAATGTTTATGGCTTATGACCACAATATTAAAGTTCTATTTATACTCAGATTAATATATTTATAATATAACCGCTTTAAGTATCCATCTTGTGAGAAAGCAAAATTTAAAAGAAAAGTGGAAATTATAATATTACTGATCTCCTTTGCTTTCTGCTAAAGGAGAGAAGGAATATTTGCACAGAAATTGTGACAGTTCTGCTACTACATATAATTTAGAGCAGCAATTTTCAGCCTTTTTCATGGCACACATCAGCTAATTACTACAATTCTGTGACACACCAAAAAATATATTTTTTATCTATGTAAAAAATATAGGTATAATTTTGATTGATTTACAAAATAATGATAATAATAATAATAACCTACCCTTTTTGCTCCAATGTGACTTTTTAAAAAATCAGGTGCCTATACTTCTATATAAGGATTACTGGTACCAAGAACTAACCAAACAGACACAACCTTATTGTGTGTTGTGACCAATAGATGCAACTCTATATTTATAGTTCAAGACAGAACATTCATACTGGATGCTATTGTTGTGATGGCAGTTGTCATTTTTTATTTGACAATCTAATGGAAAAGAGGTCAGTGCCTGTGGGAGACTACATGGCATCCATTTAGCTAAAATCTGCTCTGCCATCTCCTGCCCCAAGGCAGGATATCTCTGTATACAACTTTCTGCATTCCTTTAAGTAACCATTTACTGAGCCAGTTATGCTCTGTTTGTCTTTTGTTCCACCCCGATATTTACATGATATTTACTTGAAATTGCTTGGGGTGGTTACCACAAACATATCGCTTGGCAACAAATGTTCTTGTTTTTCTGCTTCTTGCCCTATATATACTGTGGATCTCCCCAGAATAAATGAGACTTGATCAGAGCCCTGTATTGTCTCCATTTCTCTGTCTCTTGTCCTTCCTCATCCTCACTCCCCCTCTAGAGTCCTCCTTGCTCAACCTGCGGGACGGGTCAAGTGCCCCTAACTAAATAGGTTTTGCATGTTTTAAAAATGCTTATGGCACACCAGTGTGCCCCAGCACACCTGTTGAAAACTGCAGATTTAGACGATCAATCACATTTCCCAGAAGTATTTATTTTTAAAATGATCAAATAGTTGGACAGATATAAAACACTAAACATTTAAAATAGTATATTCTTACTTCATTTGTTTAACGATAGTACTTTTTCCAGATTCTCCAGCTCCTGCAAAAGAAAGATGTGTTACCAACTGATATACATCAAATTCATGTACATATTAAAACCCATGACATCACTTTCTCATGAGTAAATCTTTAACAGAACGCTATCCTTCATAAAGAAGCACAATAATTTTTCTGTTAAGTCTTAAAAGGTATTAGGTGTCTACTTTCCAGGAGAGCAGAAGAAAATAAAACCCATTTATATTGATGATAGATCCAGATGTAGGTTGGCTTCAAGGTAGAGTGTATATTCTAAAGCAAGAATTACACACCATTAGAAAAAAATTCCTATTATCATATTTGAACATATTTTGGAAAGATTGTATCTCCTGGATTTGTATCCCAAGGAAATGGTCCAAACTTTATAGTCTCTAGATCACTCTCATTCTCCCAGAATGTCTCTGCATATATTCTATTAGATTAAATAACAACAAAAACCATGTACAAAAACTAAGCAATAACTTTTTATTTACAGAATTATTATAAGTCCATTCTGGTTGAAGAAGGGGTTCTTGTCTTCATCATCATATTTATGTTGCTACACAGGCATTTTCTCTTCTGTTTAAACAAAGGAAAGTTGATAATAACAGTAAGCAGACATAAAGAGCCTACAGAGAAGTTGTAAAAAGTAGGACTCAAGAGGATTCATATACGGATGTTTAAAATTATTAATAATATGAGGATGGATGACACTTGAAAAGAGACTGCAACTGAGTATTACTCGAGAATGAAAATGATGAGAGGATTTGATAAAAATTATTACAATATGTAGGGTATAAATCCAAACATTTAGGTTTTTACCTATCTGTGAGTCCTAGACATGTGAGGGATCGGGTGGGAAGGAGCAAATTCAGGCAATTTTTCAAGTTTGAAAGTTCTGGTTTTATAGACAGGAGAAAAGCAGCGAGTCAACAAGAGTTGGTAAAGTCAGAAAATACAAATTTGTTTACAAAAATTTTCGATAGAATCACCAATAAATCTATGAAATACTGAAAACTCGGCATTTTATAATTGATGTAAAATCATGTTTTAGAATGTGTCCTTTGTTACAACTAACATTTATCAATAAAAATGTTAAAATATATTGTTAAATATATTTTTAAACAATAAAATATATTGTTAAAATATATGTTAAAATATATTGACCAAGGGCCTGATCTAGAATGTCAATGAGTAAATTGTTAGTCTTCTCATACTAATTACTGTATCATTTAGAGAAGCAAAAGCCTGATATATTACTGACAGTTCCAGAAATTGGGTCAGAGGACATTTTTAAAGTCTCAGTTTGCCTGTTAATTTTGGACAAATTTCAAAATAGCACAACAAAGGCAATTTTAGAAAAAAAATCTAAAAATCAGAAAAACTAATAAACATAGTAATATCTCTTGCCAACATGGCACTCAATTGCTTTATTTTACCAAGTCTAGTATGATTTTTAAAAATATATATTTTTAGTAATTTTTAGAGAGAGAGGAAGGGAGAGAGAGAGAGAAATAAAAACATCAATGTGAATACTAGACATGGATTGGCCGACTCCATGCCTCCCACCAGGAACTGAGCCCACAACCAGGGCATGTGCCTTGACCAGAAATCAAACTGGTAACTTTTTGATTCACGAGATGGTCCCCAACCGAGTCACACCAGCCATGGCAAGTCTGTACAATTTTATGTAAGCAAAACTAATATGACTTTTGGAACCCTGAATTTCATTATTTTATTTAAATTATATCAAAATATATATTGAATTAGAGGACTTGATTACCCTACTAACTTTAAATTTTCAAAATATATTGGGGTGTCATTGGTTAATAAAATTATATAGGTTTCAACTATACAATTCTATGATGCATCATCTGTATATCGCATTGTGTGCCTAGACCCGAAGCCAAATCTTTCCTCATTCTCCCCCAATTTATCCTCCTTTTCCTATTCTACTTTTTTCCTTGAACATTTCTTATTCTATAAACTTACATATTATTCACATGTAATTTTTAATGTTCCCGTGTGTCTTCCATCACTTCATGGTAAATTCCACAAATCTTTGTTATTTTTTTGCACTAATATATCTGAAGAGCCTAGAAGAGTATCTAATAGTGGAATCTCAATGATAGAAATGAGGGTTATAAACTCATACTTCAAAAGTAACATTTTATCTTCTGTATTATACACCATTTTTTCACACTGAAAGCTTTCTTCCTGATTAGCATTTTTAAAGCTGTGAGGAATGCTATAACTAGACTTAAACACTGCTTCACAGCAAATTTGTTTTGTCTCGGGCATATCTAGATGTATATAGTTTATGTAGTTATCTGAATCAGCTGCCTGCCTTATATTAATATTAAGGAAATCACAGTGGTGAAGCTATGGGAAACAATACTTCATTGCTTAGTGCTGATACATAGATCCTTCCTCTGGGGCAAACCTCCAGCATACTTGCCTTTAGGGTTTTATGCTAGTGTGGTCTATCTATATCACACAGTGTGCAATTTCACAATAAAGTTCATTAATACAGAATTAACCCCAGCAATTTTTTAACTTAATCATACTTTGTTAACATGATCAAACTGACAGATTTAAACATAACCATCTAATTTAATAGAAGCTGCTAAGTCCAAGACTGAAAAATTTGAGAATAAAATAAAAATCATGTTAAAATATCACCTCACCCATTTTCATAAGATGACTGGCTATATTATTTTGCTTGGCTGAGCATTACTTGTTTGTGGAAGTGGTAAGAGAAAATCAATGAGCTTCACACAATATTCTGGTTTTTGGTTTGAGAATATTTGCTATTTTGCTCCAGGCTGTGCATCACTTTGAAAGAAAAGTTATCAAATAAGATTATAAAGCTGTTCATGGTAGTTTTTATTTTAATCTTTCTAACAACAGATGTGAACATTAGACATTGTAGCATCACCCTAATCAGGTGATATATTTGGAGAATATCTTACTTTTCATATATATAAATATATTTATTTATTTATTTTAGAGAGAGAGGAAGGGAGGTGGAGAGATAGAGACATTGGTGAAAGAGAGCATTGATTGGCTGCCTCCTGCATATCCCACTGGGGATTGGGTCCACAACCTGGCATGTGCCCTGACCGGGAATCCAACCAGTGACCTTTTGGTGCATGGGTGGATGCGCAACCACTAAGCCACACCAGCCAGGCCCAAATATCTCTTTCCAATTTTGCTATATGAAAATTGTAGAGTTATAGATATGTGAGAGGAAAGCCAATGGGACCAATAAAAACTTCAGTACTTGTCCATGCAGTACTTGTATATTTAGTATTGTATTTTGTTCAATGAGAATGAAAATATTGAGGAAAAAATCTTTGGAGAAATTCTGAGAATGAGAAAGAATGTCTCTCTCATTTCTGACTATCAAATACATTTTCTTAAATAATGTTATTATACTTATAATTTCTAAGTAAAATGAGATTAATTTAGATCATTTTTATTTAAATAAATTATCTACCTTGATAAGAAAAAAGTTTTTAAAATGATTTTCCAGAATTTTACTAGTTTATGTGTTCTGGAAAAATTCAGTATCAATTAAGAAACACTATGAGCACATTAAGAAAACTCTAAATAATCACAACCAAATTTTATGATGTTCACTTTCTATGACTGACTAAAAAATTATTATAATTTAGGGGGTGACTTTTTGACTGTGTAAGAGAATTATAGTACATTCAGAATGATCTTCTATACTTCATAAATTTGGTCTATAAATAATACTGATGACATCTGGCAAGTTTCCAAAATTATTTCTGAGGCTAGGTGGTATATTATTAAAAAAGGATTCTTTATAATTTAGCTGGTCATTGATGATGTGTCTCAGGTCAACAGAATAATTAAGCATTTTTAAAATACTTTATCATTTTTTTTGGTGAAACTATATATGAAACATTAATATGTCTTTTGGAAGACTTTTTTCAAAAGGTATCCGAATTATACCTTGTTTTTTTGCAGTAATTTCTGTCTTCTATGTGAAGGTTCAGGATAGTCAGCTACAGCACTAATAGGACAAAATTCCTGAAGAAAAGCCAATTTCTCCAAAACCTCATTTATTATTTGGAGCTTCATTGCAAAGCTATTTCAGAAATAAATTGTTGAGTCCCATTCTCATAATGATTCTAGGTCTTAGTTCACAATAACCATCTCATTTTTGTAAGATCAGATCATACAAAATACCAAATATAGATATCAAAACAGAATGTTCCCATAGGCTGGGGGCATCCTGAAATAATTTCTTTCTTCCAAACTGTAGTTGTCACTAAAATTATTTTGGGGTCAAGGGGTACCAAGGGACTTTCAGCAAAATATGCATGTATATTTTTGAAGTAGATAATGTTTCAATTACTGAATATTTAAGTGTATATTTAATTTATACTTTAATACTCATACATTTTTTTATTCTTAGTAGGAATCAATTAGAAATTTTATACCACATTTTTATTTGCAAACATGAAAAGCAGTTTTAAAGCTTCATGATAGCTATACCTATAATTGAACCACAACTGAACACATTTAAGGCTTGATTGTTCATTTGCTATAACTTGTTAAAAAAGGGAAAATGAGAATAAACACATTGACTTATTATTATTATTATGCATAAAATATTTTGTAGGCAGTCTTATAAATCACATAATGGTACTTAGAAAAAAACCTTAGAAATCAGCCAGCTGTGCATATCTCTTAATTCCAGTATGAGAGAAATGAGTCCAGTGGAGATTATGATACTCATCCAAAATCCTAGATCTACTTTAAGACAAAGAAATGATGTCACCTGACTGCCACATTGCTGTTATATTGTTGTTTTCTTTTTTTTCTTTATCAATTTTAGAGAGAGAGGAAGGGAGAGAGACATTGATGAGAGAGAACATCAATTGGCCGCCTCTTGCATGCTCCCCACTGGGGGTTGGGCCCACAACCTGGGCATGTGCCTTGACCAGGAATCAAACCGGTGACCTCTTGGTGTATGGGTCGATGCTCAAACAG